GCCCAGGCTTGCACCCCAGGGAGGTCATTTTGGTGCTAACAGAGCAATTTGGCTTCACCCCCAGAGGCACACTCCATTGTCTCCCAAGACAAATGCCAACAATAAATATTCCTTGAATGCATAGCAAGGGTGTGACTGAGGATTCTTATCCCTGCAGCAAAGGCGTTGCTGGCCTTCAGCTGGAATCCGTAAACATACGGTGCTGCGAGGGATCAAAACAGGATCCCCTCTGCAACCACAGCATAGAGATTGGAAAATATAGGACACACAAGAACACAGGGAAGCAGTTCCGGCTCCCAGCTGAAAAACTACAGAATACTATAACATAGACACAGACTGTAGAGAGGTGGAGGGTGCTTTACCCAATCTTAAATTGCAGGCAGAGCTGGGAGTGACTGTTCCAAGCTGGAGAGACGGAAGGGTCAACCGTGCACCGAATATACCCAGCTCTACCTCTCAGTCAGGTCTGAATCAAGAGAGGCCATGCAAACCCTCGCCAGGAGCTCAGATGAATGCATGATGGCAATATGAAGGCGCTGTGAGTGGGCGGTTTCTGAGTCTGGATGGAATCATAGAATTGTCAAGTTGGAAGGGACCCTGAGGGTCATCTAGTCCAACCCTCTGCAAAGCAGGGGAATATCAGCTAAAGCATCCATGACCGATAATCATCATCATCATCATCTGGATGGGTTGCCTCAGCCACTCTGGGCAGCCTCCAACAGAATATTAAAATACAATAGTCTATTAAACATTAAAAGCTTCCCTAAACAGGGCTGCCTTCAGATGTCTTCTAAAAGTCTGGTAGTTGTTTTTCTCTTTGACATCTGGTGGGAGGGCGTTCCACAGGGCGGGTGCCACTACTGAGAAGGCCCTCTGCCTGGTTCCCTGTAACTTGCCTTCTTGCAGGGAACCGCCAGAAGGCCCTCGGCACTGGACCTCAGTGTCAGGGCAGAATGATGGGGGTGGAGATGCTCCTTCAGGTATACTGGGTCGAGGCCGTTTAGGGCTTTAAAGGTCAGCACCAACACTTTGAATTGTGCTTGGAAATGTACTGGGAGCCAGTGTAGATCTTTCAAGACCGGTGTTATGTGGTCTCGGCGGCTGCTCCCAGTCACCAGTCTAGCTGCCGCATTCTGGATTAGTTGTAGTTTTCAGGTCACCTTCAAAGGTAGGCCCATGTAGAGCGCATTGCAGTAGTCCAAGCGAGAGATAACTAGAGCATGCACCACTCTGGGGAGACAGTCCACGGACAGGTAGGGTCTCAGCCTGCATACCAGGTGGAGCTGGTAAACAGCTGCCCTGGACACAGAATTGACCTGCGCCTCCATGGACAGCTGTGAGTTCAAAATGACTCCCAGGCTGCGCACCTGGTCCTTCAGAGGCACAGTTACCCCATTCAGGACCAGGGAGTTCTCCACACCTGCCCGCCTCCTGTCCCCCCAAAACAGTATTTCCGTCTTGTCAAGATTCAACCTCAATCTGGTAGCCGCCATCATTCCTCCAACCGCGCCAAGACACTCACATAGGGCCTTCACTGGTTCTGATTTGAAAGAGAGGTAGAGCTGGGTATCGTCCGCATCCAACCTCTGTATTGAAAACCTCCAAAGAAGGAGAGTCCACCACTTCTTGTGGGAATCTGTTCCACTGCTGGACAGCTCTTACCGTCAGAAAGTTCTTCCTGATGTTTAGTTGGAATCTCCTTTCTAGTACCTGGAATCCATTGGTTCAGGTCCTACTCTCTGGAGCAAGAGAAAACAAGCTTCTTCCCTCTTCCATGGGACAGCTGTTAAGATATCTGAAGATAGCTATCATATCTCCTGTCTCCTCTTCTCAGGCTAAACATACCCAGCTCCTTCAACCGTTCCTCATAAGGCTTGGTTTCCAGACCCTTGATCATCTTGGTTGCCCTCCTCTGCACACGTTCCAGCTTGTCAACATCCTTCTTAAATTGTGGGGCCCAGAATTAGAGAGAGTATTCCAGGTGTGGTGACCAAGGCAGAATAGAGCAGAACTATGACAGTCACCTGCCTTGGATGGGAGTTGTATAAAGAGCAGCTTCATAATTTGGGGTTGCTCCTGGATCTATTTTTGTCATTAGAGGCCCAGGTGACCAGAGAGACTTCTAGCAGCTTTGGCTGGTAAAACAGCTACAGCCATTTCTGGACCAAGATAGCTTGACTGCTGTCATCCATGCGCTGGTAACGTCCAGGCTGGATTACTGCAATGTACCCTATGTGGGGCTGCCCTTGAGGTTGGTCCATAATTTGCAGCTGGTGCTAAATGTGGCGGCTCAGCAGCTCAGTGGAGCAGGATATTGCCAACACTTTACCATGGAAATAATAGCACTGGTTGCCAAACAGCTACCAGGTGAAGTTCAAGGTGGTGGTTTTGATTTATAAAGCAGCTTAGGATCAGGATAGCTGAAAGATTGTCTCACCCCCTTATATCACCACCAGATCACTGTGCTCTGCAGGTGGAGGCCTCAGAATTCAAACCCACCAGCAGAGAGCTTGCATGCTTTTTCATTCTCATTTTTAAAAAATATATATATTATGGGTGAAAGCATTCCTACAGAGAAAATGAGCTTCTGCTGCCCTCTCCTGGCTAAATCATAAAATGCAAGCTCATCCTATATCTATCTAAGTTTAAAAAAAAACCCCAAACAGCAGCAGCAAAGCATGATCCAAAAACCCACATATGAGGGGCAAACTTTCATAAGGGAGCCGTTTCCAGAGGAAGAACTGTGAAAGGAGAGAGACTTTGCAATAATGAGGTGGCTGGGCTCAATCGATCAAAAGATTACGAGTCTTGAGGTTATTTTTTTGGTTGCTATTTTGTTAACATTGTGATTTTATAGATTGCGAATGCTGTACTTTGTGAATCCTATCATATGTCCTTTGTTCCAATTGTGCCATTAGGCTTGTTGGGGTTTTTTTAGTTGTTGCACTGATGGCATTTTATGGATTGTAGTCGTTTCAACTGATGACTTCTTAATTGCTCTGCACGATTTGTGTGGTATTTCTTCTATTATGTTATTACAGTGGTACCTCTGGTTACAAACTTAATTCGTTCTGGAGATCCGTTCTTAACCTGAGGTACCACTTTAGATAACGGGGCCTCCCGCTGCCGCCACGCAATTTCTGTTCTCATCCTGAGGTAAAGTTCTAACCCGAGGTACTACTTCCGGGTTAGGGGAGTCCGTAACCCGAAGTGTTTGTAACCCAAGGTGTTTGTAACCCGAGGTACCACTGTATTTGTCATTTGTAAGCCAATTTACGATTCATCTGAATGAGACGTGACAGGATTTTTTTTTTAAAAAAAAATTGAACCGAATCTCCCATCAGCCCCAGCGTGCATGGCCAACTGCTAGGGAAGATGGGAGTTGTAGTTCAGCCATACCTGGAGGACCACAAGTTCCCCACGCCTGAAGGCGTAGCCAAAGTGCAGCCCTCCAGAGGTTACAGCTCCCATCATCCCTAGCCCTTGGGCCTTCCTGGCTGAGGCCGATGGGAGACAGAGTCCAACTGCAGCAGAATATAAGCTACCCTTGGGCTGGGGAATCACAGCTATCAACTTGATTTCCACTCCCCTTTTTTAAAAATAACAAAGCATACAAAAGGCTTTTAAAGTGCACGACTGTGCCTCCCCCCGAAATAGTAAGAGATCCTGTGGCTGTGAACATACCGCATTTTCCACTCTATAAGACGCACCAGACCATAAGACGCACCTAGTTTTTGAGAGGAGGAAAACAAGAAAAAAAATATTCTGAATCTCAGAAGCCAGAACAGCAAGAGGGATCGCTGCGCAGTGAAAGCAGCAATCCCTCTTGCTGTTCTGGCTTCTGGGATAGCTGTGCAGCCTGCATTCGCTCCATAAGACGCACACACATTCCCCCTTACTTTTTAGGAGGGGAAAAGTGAGTCTTATAGAGCAAAAAATACAAGCTCAGTGCGCAGACACAATGCTGCGTTTCCTGGTGCCTCAGTGCCCTCTCAAGCATTTCATGTGTTTTGAAAGGCAGATAAAATATCCGTGCATGAAAAGTGTTTTGTTTTCATAGTGTAGGCTGCTTCATTAAGGCGGGCTGGGCACAAGATGGAGGGCACAAGGAGAAGGGGGCGACAGAGGACAAGATGGTTGGATAGTGTTTTCGAGGTTACCAGCATGAGTTTGACCAAACTGCGGGAGGTAGTGGAGGACAGAGGTGCCTGGCGTGCTCTGGTCCATGGGGTCACGAAGAGTCGGACACGACTAAACGACTAAACAACAACAAAGGGCCGGGGCCAGCCCAATACGTTTTTGCACTTGAGGTGGAACCACAAATTGACATCCCACTCCCCACCACAGGAGGTCTACGTTAGGAACAGAGGAGGAAGGAAAACTGACATTGGGATCTGCTGTCCCTGGGGATGCTGCCGCCTGAGGCAGTCCCCTCACCTTGCCTGATGGGTCCGCCGGCCCTAAATGAGGGGCTGCTTCAACTGCCTCAGTCTGCCCCCAGCTTTCTCCCGCCCAACTCTTTTTACTTACATACAGTCCAGGAAGATCATTTGTTGACCCTGGGAGCTGCGTCCTAGTCTCTTTGTTGCATTTATTTCTTTGCTCAAAGAAAGGCATGAGAAAGGCTGGCTCTCAGGCTGAATTTCCATACCTTCCAAGAAACAGGCCCTGGGCTCATGAAGTGTTCAGCACCTATGTGACAAACGGCCTGGAATGTGTCCCCCGTTGCAAGACGACTGCAAATATCCAGGAGTCAAGCAATCAACTGACCCTCCTTCAAAGATATACCACTTTTTCCTAATTACGCATGTGTGTGTTTTAACACCATGATAATAGCATATAACATTTACACTGCTGCTTTAATATGCTTTTCACGACTGTAAAATGTTTTTACTCAGGTGTGTAAAACGTTCTCGTCGAAGCCTATTTTAGGGCATGGGTTAACTTCAAAATCCGTAGCAGAAACAAAAGACTGGTCAAAATCAAGGACGTCTAAGGGATATGATTTGTTATAAATTTATTTCATCTTCAGTATTTCAGCTTGCACCTTTTGCTCCAGCACTTTTTTTTTAAAATAGAACGTTTCACCTATGGCAGCATCTGCCATGTATACATTGAGTCCCAGTCAATGTTCTTAAAAGAGGCTTAGCTTAATCCCATTAAACCATGTTGTGTTTGGTGTTGCATATGGCTAGTTTACTTCTCGTTTCCACACGCCCTCCCCCCCCAATGAATTAGCAGTGTCAAGTTTTTACAAAGCTCTTGAGTTTACAATATCCATGTGCAAAGACTCACATGTACAAACTGTGACCTGCTAACCCCGAAACAGTAGTCCGTCTGACAAGAGAGGGGAATCTCCCTGCTCTCTCGTTTTATTTATTTATTTATTTGGCCTGGAAACAAGAAACCCCCAATTCTACCAAATATTTAAATGGCAGGAAGAAAAATATACAAGCTCGTATTTATACTGTACTTCTATCAATGGCAACAGGTTGTAAATTCATGTTTGCGACTATCACAAAAGACTTATGAACACCAATTCAGCTTTATACTGTAAATACTGCTGGATCAATGGTTTAGGATTATCAATCATTGTTGTCATATGTTGTCTATAACAGTTCAAAAGCATCCTGGAGAAAAATCCTGAAAAACACATACCTTACGGTATATAATAATGTACCTGCATTAGCTAAATATATACTGTACACAAGTCTTATCAGCATTTTATCTACCAAAGATGTGAGATTCCACTTTTAAATACAAAGCAGATAGCCAGTAATGTATATTTATAATACAGCCCTCTCTTTTTTCCATATATATTTTTTTTGCTTTGTTTTTAACCTTAAACAATTTGGTCACAATGCACCTTTGATATAAAATCATTTAAAATTTTATTATTAATACTCAAGACATTAGGTTTGCCAGAATTGGAATATTCTCTCCCCCCCCCCCTGCTCCCCAATAGTATTTTTTAGAACCACTTTTGGTAACAAATACAGTAATTAGGAAATGAGCACCCAAGTTCAGAATGCTGAAGTATGTTATCCGTAATCCATTCCAGCTCAAAACAAGATGTTGCTGTGATAAGAAACAGAGTTGCAAAAACCACCACAGAATCTTTTTTTCTTTTTCTTTTTTGGCTGGAATGTTTAATAAATATTTAGAAAGGTAAGGCAACAACTTCAAACAATCCAACCTGTCTGCTCAACTCCCCACCCCCACCCCCATATTAGCTCCATGATGACCATACACGATCAATATTTTTTTTAGATGTACTCTTGTTTTATTATTTCCAAATAGCCTAAAGAAAATGTATAGCAATGCAATAATTTATCCTCAGTATTCCTAAGACAAATCTGGCCATTTTATCAACCGTGTACAGCTTAATACTGGTCGGATACTGAAGTCTGCGTTGTTGCCACTGCACACTTTGATAAGGACTGGTGAGGTGAGGTGGGATTCGCAAGCAACTGATTCATTGGCAAATCCCAATGCACACCTCCCAAGTCCGCCTATAACCACATTATAGTTACTCGTAATGTTCACACTGAAGGAGCACCAAAGCAGGTCTGGTACTCAAAAGTTGCGTATACCAGAACAAACTCTTAGCATTTAAAGGACCTCTATTTTTTTTTTTCTTTTTACGGCCCTGATCTGTATAAACATTCAACTCATGAAGATGTGCAAAAAAAAGGAAAAAAACAAAAACAAAAAAATCCAAGTCAAATTACAGCATAGTTATCTGGAGGAGAAAGATGTTACACAAACTCATAAGAAAATGACAATCTTTTTTTTCTCTCTCTCTCTTTTACTATAAATACATTTAACAGTTTAGCAGAAAGACAAGCTGAATTTAAGATTGTTCACATTTGAAGTTGTATTACTCTCTGCTAACGATAAATAAGGAAGAGGTCCTGACAATGGAATTTGGACATAGCAATTTCAACAGATCTTTTGAAGACTGGTTTAAAGAAGGGTTAAAACAATGATTATTTTTGCAAAGTTCTGAGAAGTCCATCTGTTGTCCAAACTTTGGATTGAAGTTCTTTTTTTGTTTGTTTGTTTTCCTTTACTTAGAGACAGATATATACAGTGCTGTTGTAATAATGAAACAAATGTGAAATCTACTGTAAAGTTGCACAATACAGAAAACTGTTGCTCCATCTTCTACTACATACATGTGTGACTCCACAGGTTATTTAAATGCTGCTTTGCTGCTTTTTGTTAAGTTGGAATTATCCCATCCCGTCTAAGACCCCGCTTTAGTTCCAAATCCTCCAGTTTCTTCCATAGCTCTTCACGTTCCTTCTCCTTTTTCTTCTCGCTGTTAAATTAAGGGGAGGGGGGAAGAGAAGCATTAGAGGAAAAAGTCGGGTTTTTACGAGCCCCTTGTTTCTTACATCAGTACAGCTACAGAAAGAAAACGGCACTAGAGGTAGAACGATGCACTGGGGTGTCCCAACGTTTTGCATTTTCTCTGAAACCTCTTAAGGCTGCACACACAAGAACCCCGCAACTGAATAGTGCCAGGCATTCGCAGGAACAACCCCAAGCCGGTGTTCCCTTGCAGCATCCCATGCTACCCAGTCTGGCAAGACTTTGGAATCACACCGCTTGCTCTATTTGCTGGTCTTGTCCTGCACTTACTGGGATTTCTTTATCCGAGTTAATGAAAACCTGCCTTCTAGATCAAAACAAAGGTAGAATAAAAACAATTACATACCAAATGCGCTACTGCAGACGTTTTGGAGGGTAAGGAATTGTGTTCCTGTATTTGAAGCCATTACAAACCCATATTGCCCCATATGCTCCTTCAAATACTATGGAGATGGAAGCCAGTGGAGCTTCATTTGGCAATGTATGTCATCCGTGACGAGTGGATTTATTTTTCTTTCTAGCGAACTCATTGGATCTCTTTTTAATTATCGGACATTATTATTCCATTTCTTGTTCTCTCCTTCCCCATACATTCGTATCGTCATCATTATTTACAGAAAACTGTCCTAAGCTTCTTTCCAATGAAACCACCAATGAAACCATTGGAACTCCAGCCAGATGAGTGACCAAAATTCCAGGTCCAACCTTTCACAAAACAGAAACTGCTACTTAACCTTTCTATTTCTCAGGATCATAAACTTAATATGTGCATAACTTTCAAGTTGCCAGAGAGCTAATGAATTATACCCAAGTTTATCGTAGTAATAGTAATAATAATAATAATTTTTTAAAAAATATTATACCCCACCCATCTGGCTGGGTTTCCCCAGCCACTCTGGGCTGCTTCCAGCAAAAGATTAAAAATACATTAAAATATAGCTACTTAACTTTTTAAAAACACCGGATATTGACTTGGCAGGCAATAGATAATGTCACAGTTGTCAACTATACATAGTGTACATAGTTAAAAATGGCAAAATTCTGTATACTAGAACAATTCTGGACTACTATCCTACCACTATTCATTATGGAGGAGACCCCAGTGAAAACAATAGTGCTTACTCCTTAGCAAAGTGTATCCTCTACTTGAGCAATGCCTTGTCTTTTTTACTGCTGGAATCCAAACAACAGTGCATCGAGTTTTGTGCTAGCAGCCAGGGAGGCTTTAGGCTTGTGTTTCTCAAATACCCCGCAATGCCACACGGAAAACCATTTTTGAGACCGAGTGAATGTTCAAAGCTGATCATGGTGTGACATGGGAGCCTGCTGTTCAAAGACAAAAAGGTCGAAAACCACGCCGGAGATTCTCGATGAATGAAATAGCTTTCCGGATCCTTGCCTCCAAGATGTCATGATTTTAAAAATGTGTTTCCTGCACGTAGATGGAAGCCTCAGCTTTGACCTTCTGAGGTGACCAAACGCCAGAAACACCCATTGCCAGAAAAACAATCAATACTTCACTAATAATTGTTAGGAATCTAACCAGTTTCTTGATGAAACTTGCGTAATGTTTACAAAAAGGTCCACACTAAATCCACACAGCAGCATCCCTGATACCCTGATGGTCCTGGGCCACTGTGTAAGAAGCCTAGCCTAGCGTAGACAAAACATTAACAAATCAATCATAACTGACTTGCTGTGCGTACAGGCATAAAGTCTATTAAAGCTAAGGGGTACTTGGTACCCCTCTATTTACATTTCTTTGAGTTTTCTTTTTAATGTTAAGCAGAGAGCTGTCAGCCTGGTGATGGAACTGAACAACATTAGGGCCTCCAAGAACGTTGTGAGAGGCTATACTAACCTAACAAGGCTTGATGACATACAGTACCCTTCGCTTTGCTTGTGGGAACCCCGAGTCTCACAAAAGGCACGACTTTCACCAAGTCGCAAACTGCCCAGAGTTCCCGAAGTTTCCTCATTAGTTTCACCTGCTGCTTTGGATAAGCTGAAATTTCAGACAAAAGATGATGCACTATAATTGGAGAAGGGTGATTAAGGGAAAGACAGAGAAACATTTTAAACTAAGGTGCAACTAATGATCGTATGGATGGCACTTCTTCTAGATCCAGCAATGTCAAAGCCTTAAATGTATCAAGATATTATGGAGAAGGAAAGCAAGGAGGCTGGGGGGGGGGGAGGGGGTCACTTTGCTTAGAGATTCCAATAAAGGTCAGACGCAAGTTATGAGAGTTAATTGCCGAAAGCTTTCTTGACTCGCAAAGAGTTCCTGTATGCATTCTGGACACCATCTTCAAAGCAAAGTGAAGGCAAATTGATGAGTTTGGGGGGGGGGGTAATGAAAAAAGAAATTATTTTTATTTTTTACCATTGAAATTCTTGATACAATTAAGTCTTTAAGAACATAGAGCCAAAAGAAGTTCTGTGAGGAATGCAAGTTCACAAGCTACGCAATGGGTACTGTATCTCATAAAGGGAAGGGAAAAAAACAACCATCTATACGTCTTGCAGGGGCCAGGCTAATGAGCATGCGGGGAGGGGGGGAATGAGGCATTGCAATCAATCATGTGTGGGAATTATGCAATTACTGCAAAGTGTTTAAATAAAAAAAAAAACCAAAACTAAAAACAGCAGGCTTTATGCACAGCTGACAAAATAAAATAAAAAAGGCTGTAGAAAGTTACCGCTGGCGATCTGACTTGTAAGTGGCCGTCAGCTCGTCAAACATGGCGCTGTTCATTTCCATAAATGCTTTCAGCACGTTGTATACTAAAGCCACAATAGCCCTGTGAATTGTGAAAGAAAGAGTCCGTTAATTTGCTGTTCAAACGGGACGGATCTTTTCGTGCCAACAACACCGTTCTGATTTGATGTATTTGTGTCATAGGACACACAGCTCTGGCATCATCCAAGGTGTGTCCCCTTCCAGTCTTCCCCAAATCTATAATGGGTCAATGGAAACAGAATCCTGCATCAATAAATGTTGTACTGGGAAGTGTCAGCAACCACAGCTGAATATAGTGTGTGGAGGCTTTTCAAATTCTGCAGTGTTTCAATGTAAAATGAACAGCGATAAGCCAAACTCAATTTGCTATATTACTTTATGGGGGAAGAGCAGAGGGGGCAACTGAAGTTTAGAACTCAAGTTTTGCAGAAACATATGAAAGCAGGGAGAGAATGCAGGAAGGTTTAACACAAAACGTAGCATGGCACCAGGCAGGTGATCCCAACTTTTTCATTCCTTTCATCTGTGCAGCCTAGTGCTAAGTTCTCAAAGGACTGGAAACCTCAAGATACTCTCTAGTCAACTCCAGCCCTTCTATGCTAATAAGCTGGGACAATGGCAAAAGAAACTATAAGAAAAAGGACTGGGGGAAAGAAAGACTAGAATTAGAAAAAGGAAATGGAATGAGAGAAGCACTGAGGAGGAGCAGAGAACCTCATCTTAAAAAAAAAAGGACTTTCATGTTTCTATTTTTCCCTTTATTACCCCGTAGAAGCTCAGTGCAATATATGCATGTAGAAGTAAGTACTACTGAATTTACTACATGTCCTGTTAAGGAGACCCAGAAGAAGAAAGTGTAAGAAAACCAGGGACTCGTCTCCCATAAGCCCTCTTGAGTAAGCTTTCGATGACCTGTCTGTGCACCTCAAGGCTGTCTCCTACTGCAGACCCCACAGAACACCACAGGGCTTATCAGCGCAGTGCTCTGAAGACTAGGGCAAAAGTAAATCGTATTAAGGTTTTATCTGGAGGATATTGCTGTAAAGTGGCAATGTTGTAGCTGCAGAGCGGCAAAAGGCACCTTTTAAAAATGCGGGATGCACATCTCTGCGACGCAATAGGTCAGTGCATCTGGCTGTTGACCAGAAGGTTGGCGGTTCAGGCCCCCTCAGGGACAGCTGTGGACAGGAGGCCTGCACTGCAGGTGGTTGGACTAGAGCAGGGGTCTGCAACCCGCGGCTCCGGAGCCACATGTGGCTCTTTTACACCTTTGCCGCGGCTCCGGGGCAGATACTAGCGAGGGGAGGAGGCGCATTGTCCGCCCCGACACTCCCCACTGTGGCGGGCGCTGTACTGGCTGTGACGTCGCATGGGGGCGGTGTGTGCGTTAGTCACGCACCATCCCGACGTCACCTTCCCGCCCGCTGTCAGATCGCGGCTCCGGAGATATATTTGTTTTAAATGTCGCAATGGTTTTGCGGCTCCCAGTTTTTCCCCCCTTTGGAAACGGGTCCAAGTGGCTCTTTTTGTCTTAAAGGTTGCAGACCCCTGGACTAGAGGGTAGATGACCCTCAGCGCTTCCTTCCAACTCTAATTCTATGATAGATCCTTTGTTTCAAAGTTCCTGATACGCAAGGTACTAGTGACATCAACATCACTCAACTGTGACACAATCCTCCACACAAGCGGTCTGAGGAAGAACAGTAAACCAACCTCCCTGGTCCCAGTGAACTGCAAATTCTTCGCATTCTTTTGGCTAGATTTTTAATAATACAGTTTAGTCTTTGGGGGTGGGGGATACAAGAATCAGAGCATCTGCCAATATGCTAGCTCAGGATATGGAATGAACTTTGCGCTTTCCCAACAGTGGAATTTGCTGCCAAGGAGTGTGGTGGAGTCTCCTTCTTTGGAGGTCTTTAAGCAGAGGCTTGACAACCATATGTCAGGAGTGCTCTGATGGTGTTTCCTGCTTGGCAGGGGGTTGGACTCGATGGCCCTTGTGGTCTATTCCAACTCTATGATTCTATGAACTTTCTATGAACTCAATATTTAACATGGACATATCATGCCGGGTACTACTAACTGGTGCTGCGTGTTTCAGCAGGTTTCTGTGCTGTTTTGAAAAAATGAAATTATGTTTTTGTTTTTATTTAGTTTCAAAATTATATTATGGTTTAACTGTGAACAGCTTTGTGAAACTTGGTTTGAACAATGATCTGTACAGGTTTTTTACAAAAAATAAATAAACTTTCCGTTTCTGAGAAACGGACCCTTCAAACTGGTGAAACCTTTTCCAGGTTCTGCAAGTCTCTAGATGACATGTTTCTGTTCAAAGATCTGTGATAGTCCAACTTGGAAGTCATCATACTTTTGCTCACAATACGGCTGTGCACCAAATATCTATTAAGAGGTTCCAATATCACTTTTCAAGTAAATAGGCCAGATCATAATGAGAGTCGCTTTGGAGAGCCAACCAAGTCTCCTCTAATTTCCAAAAGTTTTAACCTTATCTATTTTCCTAAGAGGGACGCAGGTGGCGCTGTGGGTAAAACCTCAGTGCCTAGGACTTGCTGATCGTATGGTCGGCGGTTCGAATCCCTGAGGCGGGGTGAGCTCCCATCGTTCGGTCCCAGCTCCTGCCCACCTAGCAGTTCGAAAGCACTCTTAAGTGCAAGTAGATAAATAGGTACCGCTTTATAGCGGGAAGGTAAACGGCGTTTCCGTGTGCTGCACTGATGCTGGCTCGCCAGATGCAGCTTCGTCACACTGGCCACGTGACCCGGAAGTGTCTTCGGACGGCGCCGGCTCACGGCCTCTAGAGCAAGATGAGCATGCAACCCTAGAGTCGGACACGACTGGCCCGTACGGGCAGGGGTACCTTTACCTTTACCTTTATTTTCCTAAGTGACCATGTAGACAACGAGGCAGGGCCACATTCCAACTATGTTGTTTAGTCGTTTAGTCGTGTCCGACTCTTCGTGACCCCATGGACCAGAGCACGTACAGGGATTTATTATCTCTGCAATTCCAGAGTTTTCTCCTCTTCTTAACTTCTCCCTCCAAGGATCTCAGAGGAGCATCTGCAAGCTTATTCTATCATACTGCAAGTACCATACTGTCAGCTAGCACTATATATATGAGAAACACTGCAACTTTCTCAATTGCATGGTATCCCAGAAACAAGTTTCGTGCATACACTTCAGGTAAATATCCTAAGTGCTTGCAAAAGCACTGCTCTCATTGTGCAACTCTAGAGTTAAGTGCATTTGGTGTCAAGTCTATGCTGTAAAACCCTGCAAGTGGTGAAATGTCAAGACAGGTCAGATAAGCAGTATTTCATTGGTTAGAAAACAGCTCTGTGAAAGGTACAAATCTAAGATTTTCAATGTGTTGCAAATATACAACAATGGGTATTTTAAAAAATAAAACAAAGAAAAACACTTACGGGTTCCAGTGTTCTTTGGAAATCCTGTACAGACTGGAAAACATTATGGGAAGTATTACATTGGAATTCTCCTCTATCAAACTCATGATGTATTCATTATTCCAATAGTACAGTGCTCTTTCAGCCACCTTGGAAAAAGGGGGAAATGGTATTCTTTTATTTCCTAGATCAGGTAACAATTCCAGTAAGTACAACCATATTATGCCAGTGCTTTGCCATCTGTACTGTTTTCCAGATTGTTTATGGGCCCAACTTAAAGTGCTGGAATTAACCTTTAAAGCCCTAAACATATTGGGGCCAGCAAGTAAATGCACATGTGGTATTCCATTAGGGGAAATCTATTGAGAGGAAACAATATTGCATGGCAAAGTGGTAGGACAGGGCCTTCTGGCGGTTCCCTCAATGAGAGAAGCCAAGTTACAGGGAACCAGGCAGAGGGCCTTTTCGGTAGCAGCACCCGCCCTGTGGAACGCCCTCCCACCAAATGTCAAAGAGAACAACAACTACCAGACTTTTAGAAGACATCTGAAGGCAGCCCTGTTTAGGGAAGTGTTTAATGTTTGATGGATTACTGTATTTTAATATTTTGTTGGAAGCCGCCCAGAGTGGCTGGGGAAGCCCAGCCAGATGGACAGGGTATAAATAATAAATAATAATTATTTTTACCCTGCCCTCCCCGGCCAAAACCAGGCTCAGAGTGGCTAACATCAAATATATAACATATTAACATAAAATCAGGCAATCAATTAAAATACATCCTAAAATCAAATTAGAATCAAAGTGAAATCCAATCAGATGACAACCCACAGATTAGGGCTGGGGACCTTAAATGCTCATCAGCCTAACTGTTTGTACTGATCTTATATGAACCTGTGAGAAAAGTTGCGGGGCCACTTTCATATAAGTTTTTATAAGGAGGGGGGAGTCAGACCCCAACCAAACAGGACCCTAACCAAAGGCCTGGCGGAACAGCTCCATCTTGCAGGCTCTGTGGAAAGATGTCAGATCCCGCAGGGCCCTGGTCTCTTGTGGCAGAGCATTCTACCAGGTTGGGGCCACGGCCAAAAAGGCCTTGGCTCTGGTTGAGGCCAGTCTAATTTCCTTGAGGCCCAGGACCTCCAAGATGTTATTATTTGCGGACCAGAAGGTCCTCCGTGGGGCATACCAGGAGAGCAGGTCCCATAGGTTTGAGGGTCCTAGGCCGTATAGGGCTTTAAAGGTTAAAACCAGCACCTTAAACCTGATCCTGTACTCCACTGGGAAAAGGCTAAGCATCCTCCAAAACTTGCTTCACTGCTCAGAATCCCCCTCTTCTGAAGTGACTTCCCATATTAAAAAATGGCGCCACGGTTTATGTACATGCAACATACAATTTGCTTCTGAGTTTCTGGCTGCCAATACTGACCTGAAAGTGAGGGCTAGACACACACTTAGCTATTTGTTTAAACAAGGGTTCTTGAATTTTGACAAACTGTGAGGGTTCAATCACATCCAGTATCTCCTCCAGCTCTCCAAGGAACATGACCTAAAGTGAGAAAGGAAGTATTAAATTCAGAGGTCTTCTGTTTGCATTCGGAAATAAAATTTTGAAGGAAGCATTAACTCAGCTTCTAGTTATGCCAGTAGAGATAACGCACAAGAACAATATACCCTTCATTTGCAGAAACTGGCTGCAATCATGCATATACTTCTTAGGAAGTAAATGCAAAACCCAGCACCATTTATTGGCATAGGAACAAGCACACTTCAATCAAGTCAGTAAGACTATGCACCAAAATAAACTTGCAAATGTCACAATTAAAGAGCACATGCAAACATTTCCAACCGCTCTTAAAAATTGACACTATTAACAGCTAAGTAGGGTGGACAGCTTACTTTTTACAGATGGCACTAAGGAGGGTAGCCATTATTTTACTCCTACAAGAATATGCAGCATACAATGGTTGCTAATTGGGCTGCTGCCAACCTTTGTGCAAAGCAATAAACCTATGGCTTCTGAGTAGTCAATGATGAATGTCAAAAAAAAAAGATCTGCATCTAAAATCATTTAATAGAATCGTTTAACTTTCCTCAAAGACACCTACATTTTCCATTGTACTACAAAATACTATTGGGTTACTTGTAAGGTTTCTATCCTACCATTTCTCTAAAGAGCTCAAAACAGCACACATGGCTGGATCCTCACCATTTTATCCTCAAAGTTGCCCTGTGTGATAGATTGGCCTGAGAGGCAATGGTTGACCAAAGGCCACCCAGTTAGCTTCATGGCCGAGTAAAGATTTGAACCCAAGTCCCCCTAGTTGAACACTCTAAGCACTCTAATGATCCCAAGCACGGAATATGCCTTTTCCCACAGCTGCTGCATACCCTGGGCTGCCATCTTCATCTAGCTATTTCCAAGGTCTCTCTCCTCATCAGCCACCAGCAGTTCAGACCCCATGAGCATATATATGTGATTAAGATATTTTTGTCTGAAGTATGCATCCCTTTACAGTTGCTTACATTAAATGGCATTTGCAATATAATAAGAGATGGCCCAATGTTCCCTTTTTCTACAGATTCTGTTTTCAACAGGAAGACGATCGACGCCCCATTACTTACTTCTTTTTGACTGCAAGTTTTCGGCCAGAATTTCATTAAACCTCTAATGACCTGCATTGAAGAAGAGACAATGAACAGTCCATTTAGATACAGAAACACACAGGTATCTGAAGCCAACTCTCAAGATAAAAAGAGACATGTATAGATCATACTTACGGGCTCTGTGAGTGAAGGGTCTTTCTCCAGAAACTGCACTATGCAATACGCCAACTGCAAAATATGTAAGAAAACATTGCATTAAAGTATTTTCTTGAAAACGCAAAAAGAATAAAAAAGAATAAAAATGTCATTAAGGTATTTAATTAATTAAGGTATTAATCCAGATATACATCCAGAATCCTAACTGCCACGAACAGACTTCCTTCATGGCACTAGGTTTCCGCATCCTCCTGCAACTACAAAGAGCAACAATTAATGATGCCCACTGGAAAATATTAGGAAGTAATGCAGGGGGCTGTAGCAGGAAGAGATAAATCAGTGGTCCTATAAGAATAATGATGATGATGATGATGATGATGATGCAACAACCCTCAAATTACACGGGGGCAGCTTTGTATCCAAGTCTTATTCTGCTAGCAGTTTCCATTTCAAATGAAGATTGAAAGATGTGGAGCTCCATCAAACTGCAACATTGACCAACACACCAAGATCCTCAGTATACTAAAGCAACTAGATAAATGTGAGTCTGAAACCAGCTGAATTTCGGCACTGAATGCTTCATTGTGCTGTGGATGTTTTTCTTCTACGTTTCTGGCAGCACTAGGGCACGTGAGTTGAGTTAGCACAGCTGAAGCCTGGCGTACAGAAAGATTAAGCTAGCAAGGCTCCCTCTGCAGGGATATCAGAGGCAAAGGTTTGGAGAGCAGGAAAGGGGGGGGCATGCTGCTGTTCAATGAGAAGATTTGTAGTCAAACTTAGGAAAGCAAGAATACTAAAGAGTATAGGTGCTGGTTCAGAATTTGTGCCAGGAATTCAAAGCAGTGGTGTGCAGAATGGCAGCCTGCAGGCTAAATCGGACACCACTGTTGCTTCACCATCACCTTGCAGCAGAGGAAGGCAACCTTTTCATTCTAACCAACCACCTCAACAACTGGCTTTTGGAAGCAGCAAACACTTTCAGAAACACACAGCAACACTCCCCACTTATTATTCCCTGCAGTCGCCTCTCCCATCAAGAACAGTGGAAGATGCTACCCTTAGGGGCTTTGTGTCAGCTGACTACAGATTCACTGGAGTGGCAAAAGTAAGGAGGAGGGAGGAAAGGGGAGGAGGTGTCTGACTCGGGCTGTAGTGCTCCTCCCCAAGTTAGCTGGCAGGCATATCTAGCTGCCAAGCCCCAATTACAGAGTGGAATAAAGCACCCAAACCCAAAAAAGTAATAAATAAATAAATAGGGAAGCTGTGCAGGCAGTCCCAGATCTGGATGGGTCTTGCATTCCAGGGCGTTGCACACTTGCGTGAAATTGTGTGCAATTAAAACACCCTGCCCCATCCATCCCTTTTAGGACGTTTCCTGGTCCCTTCCAGATTTGCCGCTGTGTGCATGTGCACATTTCGGTTGCGCCTAAAACAGGGGTTGTTTGTATTCATCAACACTGAAGACAGACACTTGTGCAAACTGATGTAAGTTTAGCTTTCAAACCTTGTGTGTGCCCTGATCCTAAGGCAACACTAAACAATTAAGATACAATTAGCAGTAGCTCTGTTTCAGCAAAACAGCCAGTAGCCTTGTACCTCCTTAGCTTACCTAGCACTGCATTGTGGATTCAGGGCTGAACTAGAGAAAACATCCCGCTCACCTAGCCAAATAACCTTGTAAGAACAGACTGACAGAAGTGGATGGGTTGCTGGAGATTCTTGCCCAATTGCAGGCAGTCTCTGGCGAACACAAGGGGCAAGCAAAAATATGTCTGCTGGACTCGACATGTTTCCGTTTTCTTAAAGGGTTTGGTTAAATCTATTTCCAACTCAGCACATACAGAAGTGCCGGCCACACTGGTTCTAACAAAAGCAAGAAACAAAAAACAAACAAACATTTGTATGGAAGTTTTTACCTGTGCATGGAAGAGCGATAAACTTCTAACGGTATGTAGAGGAATCAGTACTTTCACCAAAAACTGTTTATGCTCGGCTTTAAGAGGTAAAGCAAAGCCATTGATAATACTAGAAGGGAGAAAAGAAGCATTATTAGTATCAAGGTATTCCTTAACACAGAATGAACTGGATTGTATATCTAATCACAGCTAGAACAAGCGTTTGAAACTGGCACACATGAAACATGGTCTAAATTTGCATGAGAACAAAAGTAATCTTGCAAATTTTATTTATAAGCAGAAAAGCATTCTTTTACCAATAAGTGTAAACACTGCATATTATAAAATTGTCCATACAGATTTCCTTTCATTATCTGACCCCTGAGAATTCTGTTATCATGAGCAAGTTTGGGTCTCTTGTCCTCTCTCACTGTGGGTAGAAGTGACTGAATAAACTACTTTCACTTCAGGATGGAATCTGCCAGATCCTGCAAGTGAAAAGGCCAAGGGTTTCTCTTTCAGAATCAAAGCGAGCAGACAAGGGAGCATATGGGCCGTAAGTCCACAAAGAGAAAGTACATGAGCTCAAGGTCTGCTCCTGACCTCAATGCAAATAAAATCCTGGGAACCAAATCAACAAGCCCAAGGTGTGGGCCATTAGAAAATCTAAAATGGAGCGCAGAAAAGCTTAACAGCCTGACCTTGCCTCTAAGCTGAAGTTAAGCATATGCCAAGCAACTAAGGATACAGGGCCCCATAGCATTTGAATGCCGCTTTAAATGTCAGTGAGAGCTACCTTGCCAAAATCGGATGCCCAATAAAGCATAGATTGCCTGACAATCCCCACCAGCAACCCAATCCTTTAGATCCAGTTTAGAACCAATATTATAAGGAACAGCTTAAACTAACTCAGATAAGGCAGAATCCCAGCCCTGGCAAGTAACTCTGTCCAACTTCAGGAAGACACATATTTAGCTTCCTTGTGCTCTCAGAAACGCAGCAGTCAAGAGTCATGACTGTTAGAATTCCTGATCTCTGATTGCAGTCATGGGATTTTTGTCTTTCACATGACGGTATATGTTTTGACTCCACAGAGTGGGATGTGACGAAGACAGGATGTTTGTGTTACTGTGTTCCATGAAGTGGGACTATTGTCCTTTGTTCTTTCTCTCTTTGCTGTCTGATGCTAGAGAGAGAGGGAGCCATGTTGCAGTGCTCCGTGTGTGTTTATATGTAAATAAAGTAGATTAGCCAAAATGCTGAATTGCTGAGGTGTGTTACGCCAACTGTGCAAACTCTGTGGATCTCTAAGTGTGCCAGTGTCAGTTGGCATCGGTCGCTGTGATGTTCGGGCTGAAGAAAGTTTATGAAGCTCCCGAACGATCGACTAGGAGGGAGAGAACATGCCAGTCGGGCATGTGTCTCTGCCAGGGTCCTACTCAAGTGTAAGCTGAACTCCTGACAATGACATCTTTCCTGAATTTCAAAGAGGGCCTTCTACAGCTTCACTCCCCCCTGCACAACTGCAGTTCCATTTGAACTACTGTGTGCAGCACAAGTGAGTGAAGGAAAAAAGAACAGGACAGGGCTAAGAATTGGTTCGGCAACACTGCACCTTATGAGACCCCATGGCAAGGCAGCAACTCACGTTTGGGCCATTAGGACATGTCATTTTAGGAGTTGAAATTTTTTTGCAAATCTCTTCAGCGAGGGGTCTTAAAAATATGTTTTTGAGTGTGAGGAATTCAAATCTGCTATTATTTTTGTGATTGGACAACAGTTAGCTTGGTAAGTCTGTTGATGGAGAAGTACATAAACTGCTTTCGGAAAACAAAACAAAAATTAATTTTGCCTTATGAAAATGTCAGATAATGCTAAATAGTAGTAGTGATTATAGTAATAATTAATAATAATAATAATAATAATAATAATAATAATAATAATAATAATTGCCGCAAGTATTTGGCAATGATTTTTAATGAATTCTATACAATTTCACACACATTTAACTTTGCAGGCAAACCTAAATTATATCAATTTAATTAAAATACCTTTTGAATTCTTAAGTCATGTTACAACTTTTTAACACCCCTCATTTTGGGAAATTGAAAGTTGGGCCATGTGTTTACTATCACAAGCACCCTTATCTGGAAGCCAGTTCAACTGCTAGTGAGGTTTCTTCCACATTCTGGGCCGTTAGTAAATTTAAGATAACCTTTTTCGCACATCAGGTTTGTCATCATGTAGGAGGAGTGTCGTAGGTGAGGTCAGCCCTTAAAACGAAACTTTATTTACCTTCCTAATATTTCCAGCAGTTCAGCTACACCATTGAAGTGTTCAGTTTCATAAACAAACCTGCCCAAACAAATTACATACATTAAATAATTAAGCAAATTGCACAGACACAAATTACACAGATTAAGTATTTCTTTACTTGGAAATTTCTAGCCTGCCCTTCTAGTGTGCATGGACCAACCAGGGTGATTTACAGGTTAAAAACACAACACATTAAAAAATATATTGTGGGCGTACAAACCTACAGGAATGAAAATAGAAAACTACCATATTTTTTGCTCCATAAGACGAAGCTGACCATAAGATGCACCTAGTTTTTAGAGGGGGAATGCAAGGAAAAAATATTCTTTAAAGGGAGCACCGAGCAGAGCCTGTATGCGCCCCAGGCTCTGCTCAGCGCTCCCTTGCACAAGGCTGCCCTTCTTCCTCCTCGGGGAAAAGCCCCCAAGAGCCGCACACATGCTCTACGCGGCTCATGAAAGGGAGTGCGGCTCTTGGGGGCATTTCCGGGAGGTGGGGGAAGGGACAGAGGGGCTAAGCCAGAAGCTAGAACAGCAAGAGGGAGCACTGTGCAGCGATCCCTCTCGCTGTTCTGGCTTCTAGGATAGCCACGCAGCCTGCATTCGCTCCATAAGATGCACACACATTTCCACTTTTTAGGAGGGAAAAGTGTGTCTTATAGAGCGAAAATTACGGTACATAGAATCATAGAGTTGGAATAGACCACAAGGGCCATCGAGTCCAAGCCCCTGCCAAGCAGGAAACACCATCAGAACACTTCTGACATATGGTTGTCAAGCCTCTGCTTAAAGACCTCCAAAGGAGACTCCACCACACTCCTTGGCAGCAAATTCCACTGTCGAACTGTCAGGAAGTTCTTCCTAATGTTTAGGTGGAATCTTCTTTCTTGTAGTTTGGATCCATTGCTCCGTGTCCGCTTCTCTGGAGCAGCAGAAAACAACCTTTCTCCCTCCTCTATATGACATCCTTTTATATATTTGAACATGGCTATCATATCACCCCTTAACCTCCTCTTCTCCAGGCTAAACATGCCCAGCTCCCTTAGCCGTTCCTCATAAGGCATCGTTTCCAGGCCTTTGACCATTTTGGTTGCCCTCCTCTGGACACGTTCCAGTTTGTCAGTGTCCTTCTTGAACTGTGGTGCCCAGAACTGGACACAGTACTCCAGGTGAGGTCTGACCAGAGCAGAATACAGTGGCACTATTACTTGATCTAGATGCTATACTCCTATTGATGCAGCCCAGAATTGCATTGGCTTTTTTAGCTGCCGCGTCACACTGTTGGCTCATGTCAACATAAACAGCTTTCTTTTAAAAAAACAAAAAAAACCCACACTTACCGTAGAAAAATATTGTTAATCTGTTTCCTGATAAATGCTCTAAGACCAAGGAACTTTCCATAAATTCTGTGTAAGACTGTTTTTAGGTAGTCCCGCTCACGAGGATCTTCGCTGTCAAACAGTTCCAGAAGCTATTTTGGGGGGGAAATCAAAATGAAACCAACAGCTCAGAAATGGAGCCTGACTCTAACATCTGCATTTCTGAATTGGCTTTATCTGACCATACTTCTTCATTCCACAGCCAAATTGTCCATCGTGAATTTTTACCTTCTGTCTGACTAACGGATCCCTACCAGTAACCTTCATAGAAGGCTCTTTGATTCAGTGGAATCTTCCATGAACGGGGTGGGGGATGTTTTTGCAAATGTCCCCTTCCTCCATACAGCTCCCATCACTGTTCCAGAGCAGTGTTAGAAATTCGGACATATAAGCTAGGGGCCAAATGGCTACTTAAACCAAGGTTGCAGTCGCTAAACCAGAATGTCTAGTTGCCATTTTGGGGCAAGACAAGTCTTATTTTTCAAATGATGGGCTGATTTGATTGATTCTCTAGCTAGTTCAGATGACACCCTTGAGCTAGGTTAAGAGCTTTGAGAACTTAAAGACGAAAAGTCACTTTATCCAGGGACTGTCCGCATATATACTAGCCTATTTCTACCTCTTTTTCTTGACGGTAACACATTCATAACGTAAGAATATTCTTCACAACTGTGAGCACGGCAGTGGAGTGGGGTAAGGGAAGACAAGCAACAGCAACTAACTAGAACATTGTTCACTGCTCCTGCTCAGGCTGCACAGGAGAAAAAACCATTTTGGTTCCTGAAATTCATTCTGACTGCGCAGAGAAAATATAACTGATAGAATTCTACAGGAAGGGGCATTAGTGTGTGAAAACAGTCCAGATCCAAGGATCCTCGGGTATGCACCTCCAGATGATGGAGATATCAGGTGTCATCCTGAAGCTCAGGCATCTGTGCTTAGTCGCAAATGGCCGATAGCCAGGTGCAAAATGCGCCTGGCTATTTTCGAACCCAATGGGTATCCGAACTCTCTGAAGCAGATCTGGTGTGGATGCAAAGGGCTGCAGAGAGAAGGGAGAATGTATGGCAATCACCTCGCTCTTCCTCCTCTTCACAGAAGCCTTTGCTGGATCAAAGATGCCCATGAACAGAAGGACCAAATTGCATATAAGCCTTACTTCCCAAGCACTGATGGACCAGTATATTGCTTAATCCGTGGCAAGATCTAACAGGGAGGGGCTGGTTCAAGCCTTTTGCACCACAGAATTCTATTCATAAGGTGGAGGCAGATTGAGAATTGTTTCAGGAGATAGCTGTGTGGTATTCTCTCTCATGTGAAGTTAGCCCATGTGGTGTAGTGGTTCAGAGCGGTGGACTCATAATCTGGTGAACTGGGTTCGATCCCCCGCTCCTCCACATGCAGCTGCTGGGTGACCTTGGTCTAGTCACACTTCTCTGAAGTCTCTCAGCCTCACTCACCTCACAGAGTGTTTGTTGTGGGGGAGGAAGGGAAAGGAGGTTGAGACTCCTTAGGGTAGTGATAAAGCAGGATATCAAATCCAAACTTTTCTCTTCTTCTTAGTGCCAAACATTTAATGTCATCTTCTACCAAATTTAAGTTACAGTATTTCATAATTGCCTTCACACATTCCAGTGACAGCTTCTGAATGCAGTTTGTTTTTTTAAGTCTCTCAGGCTTACAGAAACTCCAGTAATCAACCTACAGGTTGTTGTTTTTAAATAAAAGTTAGCATTACAAATACTCTCATGAGCTTCGAAGAGAGCAGACCTCCTTACCTGTAGTACAAATTTCTGATCTATGTATTTTTTGGCAATGCTGGGCTGGAATTCTTGGCTTTCCAAAAATCGTATGAAAAATTCATATACAAGCTGCAATAAATCACAACACAATTTAGTAATGTGTTAATGCGTGCTGCATTTCTACAGAACGAAACAGTAAATTATTATTCTGCTTCCGTATTTAAAGAGAGGCAGGAGAGGGACAACGGTAGGTAAAGACATCGTCTATGTGCCTACCCCTGGTTCAAGTGAGTGTTTTCCAACCTGGTGCCCTCCCTCCCATTGCACAGAGGAGTTCATTGTCCTGCATGTGTGGGGAGATTGTTGCTGAATCAAACAACTTTTTTTAAAAAAAGGTTATGTTCATGACCACCTTGATAAAACTGTTTCCCCATCTCCCCCTACCTCCTGCCCCACCCTTCCTTGGTTTATTTATATGGTCTTTCCCCCCTATAGGCCCTTTTCAGAGACACAGACCCACCCACACATATAGTTAAATATTACCACTGCCACTCATACCTACTCAGGATAGTGTGGGATATAAATCCAATTTAACTTAATAAATAATGTGTTATTTTCCTGTGTTCATATAGCCTAGAGTGGCATAAGCCGAGCGCCCATTAATTCTTTTTATTTAGCTGCCATCAGAAGCGCTGCAGCTCATTCTAAGAGCAGGCATCGCAAACTCTTTTGCACTGGCGTGCCAAAGCTCCCAGGGGTATAATCAGCATTCCTCTGCCCTCCAGACACTTGGAATCATATAAAATAAAGCAATTATTATGTTGGTGGAACATTTAATGGTAATTAGAAAGCGTTTGGGAGCATTCAACTACAACACAGATGTCTGATGCAGAATAATGTGTTTTAATCTGGATTCTCCAAACTTGTTTGGAGGGGGGGAGATGACTGCCTCCTGCATGGAAGGCATTTGTGTGCCCGCACTCTCTCCCTCTCCGCCCCACAGGGCCTGACTGCAAGTTACACATAAACATCCCCAACAGCCCTTTCCACTTTGTAGAACTGATAGGGAGGGAATCAGTGGGTGGAAAGGGCTTTTAAGTCCTTCTCTGCCCTGTTTCCTCACTCCAAGTCACCATGCCAGGCAACTTTCCCCCCGTGAGGTTTAAAATGTGTGGGCATTTATAACCCTGTGGGGTGAAAAAACACCATGTGGCACCATTTGGGGCAAGGAAAGGATTATACAGCCTGCTACGTCGCAATTAATTGTTGTCTCCTGAAGAACTGGGGTGGGTGTGCTACTAGGTTACCGTTGCCCAGGTTTGCACATCAGCGGGAACACATGAAGCTTCCTTTCACTAAGTCTCATCACAGGTTTACCCCAGCAGGCACTGGCTCTCCTAGGTTTCAGAAAGGGGGCATTCCCAGTCCTACATGGATTGAACCTAGAGCACTTTGTACACAAAGCCTACATCTTTTTAGCTGAAAGCAAGTGACCAGGGCCATTAGTTCAATGAATGGAAGAGTGGAAAGGAAGCAGTAACACTGGTACAGTGGTATCTCGGGTTAAGTACTTAATTTGTTCCGGAAGTCCGTTCTTAACCTGAAACTGTTCTTAACCTGAAGCACCACTTTAGCTAATGGGACCTCCTGCTGCCGCCGTGCCGCCGGAGCACAATTTCTGTTCTCATCCTGAAGCAAAGTTCTTAACCCAAGGTACTATTTCTGGGTTAGCGGAGTCTGTAACCTGAAGCGTATGTAACCTGAAGTGTTTGTAACCCGAGGTACCACTGTATTTATTAAAATCTGTGTGAAACTGGTTTTAGAAGTTGCAAGACCATCATAAGGTGTGGCTCAGTGTATTCTGCCTAGCTAAATAAAAGCTGGTAGAGGACTGAAAGCTGGAGCCTACAGCTGCTTCTCCTCAATGCGTCTTTGTTTTTCCTAGGAAACTATTTAAAATGGTGTTTCCTAGTCCCTTTTATAAAAATCAATATCCATACTGAACGGAATGCCAAGCTAAATAAAGAATTTAAAATCACTAAATCTGTATTTATTTATCTATATACATTCACCTGTAATATGGCAAACTGTTACTATTCTGCATAGAGAATCTGAACACAATTTTCAAAGGGAACCAGAAAGTGAAAGAGACCTGAAGTTTATCAAAACTAACAGCACAGAACCTGTCATGTGGGTATACACTACCCAAAATAAATGGCAACAGCTATTATGATAGTGTCAAACTAAAGATTTCTGCTGTCCTCACATGGCCAGGACAAGCTATATACAGAAAAGTGCACACCAGTTGACAGCTGAGAAATAGAAGTTTAAAGTAATTTGAGACTAAGGCAATGTAGATTAGATACTGCTAAGACTTCCTGGTTTCTAACTTTATTTTGTGTGAACACTTCGGGTAAATGCAATAGCACGCCTGTTTACAAAGCAGCAAAAATGAGGCGGTGTACAAAGGGAGATGCTTGTACACACTGTTAGTTTAAAAATAAAAACTTCGGATTAGGGTGGCAACTCCAAAACTTTGAAGTTAAGCACTGACTACTGAATCCTTAAATGTTGCACTGGACCTGCAGCAGAAAGGAGAAGTAGGTTTTGGTCCCCTGAACCAGCAAGAGGGTCATGGGCTACTGGAGGCTTCTAGGCAGAGCAAAGGGAAGTTATCAGGTCCTGCCATTGGACAAGGGGCTATCAGTTACAGGGAGTTTGCTTCCTTCTCCCCAAAAAGAACTTTGCTGCAGCCTTTAACAATCTACTATCCCGTGGGAAGAGTGCTGGCGAGTTCCTGTCCTGCTTGAAGGCCCCTTATAAGCATCTAGATAGCCACTGTAAAAACAGAATATTGGACTAAATCGGCCTTAGGTCTGGTCCATACGTGGCTGCAGAGCTAAAAAGGTCAATCCTGCCCCACAGTCACCAGGCTGGGTTACTGGGGAGTTATAAGACATAACCCAGAAGGGTGTATCACATTAATCCTAAATTGACACTGTCACAAATCATCCCCGTCCCCCGCCCTATATAATCACAACAAATTGTGTGTGTGTGTGTGTGTGTGTGTGTGTGTGTGTGTGTGTAGCGTTCTGTTCCATTTCAGGGTCCTTCCAGCAAGTAAGTTGGTGTGCTTGATTTTAATTCTAAAATAAAAAATGTAAAAGAATCAAATCACCTGTAAATGTGGCCATGACGCCTCAAGGGTGGGTTCATCTTCTTCTGGATCAAACTCATTGCTATCGCTAGGAGGAAGTGTTCGGAATATATTGCAAGAAACCTAGGAAATTGAACAAACACAATTAAAGGCTGCTCTCTCATCAAGATTGCAGGGCAAGGCAATCAGAAGAATTAGAGTGCATTCACAAATTGATAAAAATTGCCCAATGAATCCATAAATTGATATAATGCATTTCACTAGCAGATTATTCTTAGATAAGAACAATGTATATGGCACTTTATGGCTTCCAAATTGCACTAATCATTTCTTACCTCCGTTTTATCCTTGTAATGAAAGCAGGGAGCACCTACTACCAGCTCTAGAGAGAAGAAAAAACTATGTGACTCCTCTAAGCTGACTAGCATCTCCCTCTGAGAATACTCTGGACACAAAGCATAGCACATATTCCAAGAAATGAAAGTGTGCCCTGCTATGGCTACACCTGCTAAGGCCCACATCAAGTGACAACGCAGTCTCAACCTGCTCCCTTTCTTTACAGTGCTCAGATCAAGCTTAACAGAGCAATCTATCAGGAAGCAGCAGCAGCAGTTTATTCTCACAAGCACCTTGTTAGATGATAGCCCCAAAAAACCAGCACCATGTCCAAGGTCATTAAGGCTCACAATTAAGAAGGGAAATGAACTCAGTCATCCATAGCCCAAGTCTGAAACTTTATACAACAGTGCCTAATTGTCACCTCCTCCTAATGCATTTCAATATTCCAGTTCACTTAGATGAAACAGAATCATTTCAATAATTTGAGCTTTCTCTCACACATTAGACTAGACTTTAAAATTACTGAGAAAGAGTAAGCAGGAAATAAAAGAGGTTTCATACTTAGTGTTTTCTTTTCTCACCACAAGAGGGTGCATTTTGATATAATCCTAGAAAAAGGATGCTGACTTTTCCAAAAATATTTGTTGTGCACCAATATATACTTCCATCACATGGTGTTTCATAGTGAGAGATCAGTCTATTAGCAACAGATACCAAACAACTGATTTAAACTTGCCTTTGGTGCAGGTTTCCTAAGAGATTATCTGTTTATATTTTGTTCTAAAATTAACACCTAGTAGCAATGATCATTCAGAGAGTCTATTTATGCTATTCATCTAATTTGAGCAATAGATCAAAGGGCTGACCTGTACAATCTAATTTAGCCAAAGCAGCAAAGATCCCTCCGTTTCAATCTTGCTGCTTCCACAAACTCACTGAGTGCCTTTTATACAAGATACCATCTCTCAAACTCAACCCCCCTCACCCCCAGTTCCTCCCCAGCACATGCTACAATAGGTAGACACTGACTTACCTTACAATGATGTTGTAAGGGTGGAGCTAGGTCACATCCACACCACACGTTTAATGCACTCTTACACCACTTTAACCATCATGGGCTTCCCTTAAAAAAATCCTGGGAACTGTAGTTTATTAAGGGTGGTGAGACTTGTTACGAGACCCCCTCACAGATCTACAGTTCCCAGCACCCTGAATGAACCACGGTTCTCATGATTCTTAGGGGAAGCCATGACTGTTAAAGTGATATGAGTGCTTTAGATGTATGGTGCAAATGTAACGATAATGTATGTAAAGCACTTCCACCTCTCCTAACAGTTATACAAATGCCAAGTGTTAGTTCCGCCAAAGATACTTTGGATTTCACACATTTTGCTGTATAATAGTAGAGAAGAATGATATACATATTGTGGCAGATACATAAATAACTTTAAGAAAATCAATGATTCCATCTGGCCATGCAAATAGAAAATTGATCACTTGTGCTGGGACTGAAGAACAATATACCTGAAAGCGACTGGAGAGCCAAAGTAGCCATGCATGGAGAATAATAATAATAATAATAATAATTTATTTTTATTTTATTTTTACTGAAAGATTTTCATGGATAACAAAGGTGCATATAATGTCTCTGTTTTCAATTCACAGAGTCCTTCCTACAGGTCAAAACACAAACAGAAGTCACAGAGTGTCGGCTGATCATTACGAAGGCACCCAGCTGGCAGAAAGGGGGAGTAAAACTCTTTCATCCCCTGCTTTGGTACTGATGAAAATTGGTTCTTTGAAGCTGCTATCTGCATGGGGGGGGGGGGAATCTCCTTTACTAGCACCAACACTTCTGCAGTGTAATTACAGAACAGCAGCAGCACATTGGGATGTTCAATTACACCTTATTACAACAATGGCTTTTCAATAGTGTATCATCACTGTACGCACAAAAGATACAACCCTGTGCATCCCTTCTTAAGATTGAACCCAATCTCTTCTGAGGAAATACTTGTAGAAGTAGGCTGACAATGAAATAGTTGTATGGAAAAGTAGCTATCTTAAACCTATCTTTACTTATCTGATTTATACTTCATTCCATCTTACCCTTGAAAGAACAGCCGTAATGAAAATTCATAATCTCTTCCATTTCTGTCTTATAAGCAATAATTTCCCCTATTTCCTGGTGTGACAAGTTGTTTAGTAGGCAGTAGAGTTAAAAGTATACACATGTTCTTAACAGACACATGTCCTGACTCCATGCAGAAGGCTCCATTCCTCTCAATGTGGGTCTACACACATGGTGAACCAGTGTGAGAAACTTAGATATATAAGCTGGGTTCCAGACGGCACCTTAAACCTAGGTTACGCTCGCCACAACGGAATGTCTATTTGCTAGGGGGTTGAACTAGATGACCCTCGGGGGGTCCCTTCACAACTCTACGGTCTCAGCTACATTGCTTGACTGTAGCTTGCTTTTACAATAATTCACTTGTCTCAGTATGCAAGGAGGAGAAACAGCGGAAATGGAAATGTTATTAACTGTGGACTAAAAGGCAGATGTTTTTAGACTGCGGTAGCCAACCGGGTGCCCAGGAGTCTCCATGTAGCCGCAACTGGACCTGCGCCAATAGCAAAATGCGCCTGGGAAACGTCAAACACTGGGGTGAACATATATGTGGGTTCAGACATACACCTTATAACACCACATTTCTGAAGACTATAATTTTAACAGAAGGGGGCCACTCCCGTGTTATGTGCCGCACAGCAACAAGTGGTTGATTTCTTTTAAAAGTGAGAGTGTGTAAAAATCACAGTGCAGTCTTATCTAAGCACCAGCCTGGTAGCCAATGAGAAACTGCAGGCAGGCAAGAGGGATGGATAACATCTAGGCTAGAAACCAAATGGGCTGCTCCCTCTCCCACAGCCCCTTAAGGCTGCTTGGCTAGTCCCCAGCAGGCTACTAACTTTTGCAAGCTTATTTGCAAGGCTGTTTTTAGTATTACTTGTGCAGTGGCTTTCTAATAGACCCCTTAATCAAAACTGAAGTGAAGAGGTGTTGCATGTACATAGTTGAAGGGGACGAAAGCGCAAGAAGCTGTTTGCAGCTCTAAAATTAGCTTTTCCACATGAATGAACGCCAGGCATTCACTTATATGGTAGAAAGGAGGCGTGGAAATTTATTTATGAATGCCAGCAACATCGCCCATCCTATAACAGTGCTGCCAACTACAGGTTACTTATTTGTCCTACAGAACTCAATGGTAAACAATCGAACCTGATAAAGAGGCTATTAGGAACTGGCTACTGCCTTTTTTGGAACATTATGATATTTAGATATATTTAGGAGTGCCTTCTACCAACTTTACTTGGTCAGGCTGCTGCAGGTGATTCTGGATTGTTTCAGCGCTGCCGGCCCATGGACTGGTAACATCCAGACTGCATTATTGCAACATGTTATAGGTAAAGAGGCACTTGAAGCTGACCCAGAAGCTGCAGCCAGCACAAAACCCAGTGGCTGGGTTGCTCACTGGAGCAGAATATCACCATCGCATTGTGCCACTGATAAAGGAACTGCACTGGCTGCCAATTGGCTAGGTTCAAGATACTGATATTGGTGTACTAAGCCCTATACAGCTGGGTACCGGGATACCTAAAACATTGTTTGATCCTCTGCATACCTAATTGATCACTGTGTTCTGTAGTAGAGGTCTGGCAGATATCAGTCTATCTGTAGGTCCATTCCAGAACCATCCCTTTAGTCTGGCAGAACCAAACCTCTGGAACGCCTTCCCATTGCTATCAGACAACTAACTGCCTTTTCTCTTGGCTTTTAGACCCCATATTTATTTTTTTATAGGTGCTTTTAAAACTGTTGTTATATGCACTTGCTTTGAACTGCTCTGCATCTTTCATTGTATTGTAAAATTGTTTCAAGATGCCTCATGTGATTCATAAATTAAATAAATATTTATTATATATACCTTTTTGCAAGTATGTGGGACATCCATACTCAAATTACACACACACAATTTTCACACTACTTCATTTTCAGCCTTGATGTTTGGCAAAGCTCATATAAACAAGGAATAAAAACATGTCAAAAGAATTGTTATAGCAGAATATAGTGAGGTGTTCTAAATTTTTTTTAAATACTGTAAATCCTCCAGTGAGAACGCATGGCTGAAGTTCAGGAAAGTGAAGGGGTGGTATTCGCCATGGGCTCGTATGAAAGGAAGAGCAGGATACAAATTTAATCAAGAAACAAACAAACAATGTTACTTATACTCATTGAACTACTTGAATCAATGGACTTCAGTGGAACTACTCTGAGTATGACTTAGTTGGATAACAACCAAGGAGTAAGAAGAGAAGAAAGGCCTGCTGAATCAGGCTAATAGCTCATCTGGCCAGGCATCCTGTTCTCAAACTGGTTAACCTGATGCCCATGGGAAGCATGCAAGAAGGGCATGAGTTTAATAGCACTCTCTCCTCCTGCCATTCCCAGAAACTAGTATTCAGCAGCATTTATCTATCCCCTTTCTCCACGCCATGCATGATTTTATAAACTTCTGTTGTGTCACCTCTTACTCCCATTTTTCCTCGGCTAAAAAGTCCCACGTGCTGCAACGTCTCCTCATAGAGGAGCTGCCCTATCCCCTGGATCATTTTGGTTGCCCATAATTAGATCTTTTCTAACCCTGCAATTTCCTTTTGCATGTGAGGCAACCAGAACTTTACACATTATTCCAAATGAGGTCACACCACAGATTTGTATAAGA